TCGTGAATTCACCACAAGTCTAGCATTATCCATCATAGATAACAAATGGGCGAATATGGACCATAAAGGTAGTTGTAAAAATGGAATTTAAAAATTGATATTCTACTTCACACACAAATTTCTACTTAACAGCGCTCGATAAGCACACGCTTGATGTTTACTTCCTGCCGCATGATATTGAACGTTTGGAAGCGTATTCGCGCAATCAAATCGAATATCGTTTGATACTGGATTTGGTAAGCGATATAAGTGCATTGTATTTCCAAGGAAAAATGCAGGAGCTGCAAATAGACACTTTGCAAAAGGTAAATACTATTATTGCTGCTGCAGATTTACAAAAGCAAAAGCATTGCGTTAATTCACTTAAATTTTAACAGGCTATCCTACTCGCAATTGGCGTGCAGGGCAAAACAGTGGACGCTATAGCTGCAGAGCTGAATATGCCAGGCAACCAGGTTTTGGCCAAATTCTACGATATGCTTAAAAAAACTTCCAAATATCTGCTTGCGGTTATCGAAGGTCACATAGAGAGCAATATGAAGAGTGAGACACAGCTGAACCGTGGCGAAGATTTTGTACCGGTTTCGTTGTCGCTCAACGACGAATTGGAAGAGACGGCACAACAGTTATCAAAGAAACAAAAGGAGGAACTTAGAAAGCTGAAAATGGAGAGCTTAAAGGAATTCGCCATTAAGGGAACCGATGAGGACTGGTCAAAGGCCCTGACAAATAATGATGGCAAAACGAAGCTGATATCCGTTAAAAGGTACACAGTTTACAAACTTATTGAAAATATTTGATGCTAATTGCACATTTTTTGTTCAATACAGTGGAATCAAGCGCTTGGAAGACCCCATAGAGAAAGGTGAGCCTAAAGAGCAACCGAAAAAGAAGAAAATCAAATTTAGTAAAAAGACTAAAGCCTCTATGAAGTCCCTAATTTAATATTTTTTTTTTTTGTTTTTTTTTGTTTATAACAGGTAGTAAAGATTTTACTACAAAAACTTAAGAATAAAAAACTTATATACCTTAACCTTCGTCGTTTGTGTAATTCCGCTTTATTTATAGAATATTTTTTCATTGACTATTTGCTTGAAAATTGAATGTGACACCGTGCAAGTTATTTAACGGTCCATGCAGTTTCTTTAGTAACAGCGCAGAACTAGAAAAAGAATAACATTACAAGTTGTGTTTAAGCGAACTGTGTTCCACTATATGCGTGTTTCATACCCGCAATCAACTAAACACATTTGTATAAGAAAACTTTGTTAAGCATTTAATATCCTAAATTCTAAGCACCCTGCTTCTCGATTTGCTTTTGACGTTCGCGCAACCTTCGCTCGCGTTCAAACTCCTTCATACGCAACACGTAGTCCTCGTATTCGCATGTTAAATAGTCATGTTTCTCATGATGACATTTGTATACAAAGGGGAAGGTATCGGCACGGCATGCACGGTATTTCAACAACTTGTGTGCACAGTAGTCCCGATCCTCAAGCGGCAATTTAGCAGATTCCATCTCTTCGACAGTCGCTATCATGACACGCTCCTTGCGTGATTCGAAACCCAACATTGGATCGAATGTGGGCACACAATCAGGGCCAGGCATAACATCTGGCTTAATGGCACGTGCATAAGCATTACCCATACTGTCGTCGTTTTGTACGTTTCGCTATTAGATGGATAAAATTATTATTTTTTCAAAAAATTGAAATTTTTTTAAACAAATTACGTAAATATAGTTGCTCGCTTTATTGCTGGCTGCTTGCAGAAAACGTCAAATTTGACAAACAATGAATACATAAATGTAATAGATTGGTGGCGATGTCAACTCAAATGAATAATTTATGTCCGAAATAAAAATATGGCAGCGCATTACACATGAAATGATGGCGCCAATACTTTGACAATCTTTAAAATTGAAACCAACAGAAGCTTCAGCAGCAACATATATTTCAATTAATAATATTATTGTATTACAAGCACAATAATGAATACGCCAAGACGGGAGACACGTAGTATGCATTTGCAAAATGTGCAAAGGCTTAGTACACCATTGCGCATACCACCATCGCCATTTATGAAAAATCTTGGATACGGAACTGGTGTAAATGTTTATAAATTGGAGCGTTCACCTAAATGTGGCAAAATGCTTTCACCTTGGGCTGTGAAGCGAATTTCTCAAAGAACACGTAACAATGAACACGCTTCGCTCTTTAATTCACGCATTCATGAAGAAGCGAATATTTTAAGGTATTTATTTTGATTGCTCATGAAATTTGATTAAAAAAAAATTGGAATTTTTGCAGGAAGCTATCTCATCCTAATATTGTAGGTTTTCGTGGAATAATTAAAAACTCAGATGGTGTTGAAACATTAGCACTCGAATGCTGTAAAACATCATTAGGTACTTTGCTAGAAGATCGCAATGAGGACAATGAGGGTCCATTACCTGCAAAGTATACACTCAAAATGATTAATGATATAACCAGAGCGTTGGATTATTTACATACAGAAGTTAAATTATTACATGGTGACCTGAAATCGTTTAACGTATTGGTGAAAGGTGATTTCGAAATATGTAAATTATGCGATTTCGGTGTAAGTTTGCCAATGGACGAAAATGGATTGATTGATTTCACCAAAAATCCGAAATTACGATATGTTGGTAAGCACAAAATCATTTGCTACTGTAGAATTGTTCAATAATTGGAGTAATTATAGGTACAAATCTTTGGTCGGCACCCGAAATAATCGATGAAGTGGAAGTCATCGATTGTAAAGCAGATATTTTTAGTTTCGGTTTGATAATATATGAAACAATTTCGTTAGTGCCACCACATACACTATTTATGGGAGAGACTAGTGACCGCGAAAACTCTAATTCATCAAACTTGGCTGACAGCAGTGGTGCACAATTAGAAGTGTCCGAAATCTGCGAAAATGCTTGTGGTACACGCCCACCACTACCACAGGCATTCCAATTAACGGATGAATACAATATAATTATGGAGATATTTTATTGTTGTACAAACGAAAGTGCAGAAGATAGACCAACAGCCAAAACCATATGGACAATGTTGCAAAATGATAATGTTAACGACAAAGAGAACCAAACGATGCAATAATTGAATAGGGAATTGACCAATGAAAAAATAAATCTTAATTATTAATGTCAGATAATAAATAGATGAATGACCAGTTAAAAAATTAATTTTCTAAAAACAATATTTTTTTTTTTATCGTGTCGAGGATGCATACTTTATTTTTTAAGTTTTTAATAAATAAAATTTCAAAAATAAAAAAATTGTGTAAGAACTGCATGCGTAGCATTGAAATATTTTGTGTGGAACTATTTTGTTTGGAACAATTCACCAATTCTGATGAACAGAAATCTCTTTCGACAAAACACTACTAAACCGTACTAAAAAGGAACTGGAGGAGTTTTTCTGAAAACAGCGCTACAAGTCATATATATCTATTTGTATCCTAAGAAGGGGATCCAGCTAGCATTCTTTGGAACGTAACTAGACAAAAGGAAAGGACGATCTCGAGATGTCAATTAATTATGAATAGCAGGGGTTTCTGGTACTGAACCAACGCTGTTGTTTGTGCTATTTGTCGCTGTTGTAGAAGTACACGAGGAGATGTGTGATGGCGATGGCCAAAAAAATAATGAAAATTACTAGGTTAGGACAGAATCAATATACAGGAAACGTAATGACAGCATGACTGTCAAGCTCTTTAATGGTATGCTCAGACTCTGCTCTTTTTCTTCCCAATGGAAATATGCAGCGATAATTTTGATTCCAAAGCCTGGCAAACCTGATCATACGGTCAATTCATATCATTCGAATAGACTACCTGTGATTATTTCGAAAATATTTGAAAGATCTATGACTACAACGAAATATATCCATAAGAGGCCTTAATATTAAGAAGATTGACATGTACTCCACATGGAGAGACAATGTGAAAATCAAAAATACAATGCTCAGTTTCAAGTTTAAGCAGCTTTTCCGATTCATAAGGTCGAGATCCCACCTCTGTCTAGAGAACAATCTACACATATAAAAAGCAATACTCAGACCGATCTGCTCATATAGAATTGCAATCTGGGGAAACTCAGCTAATGCAATTTTTTAAGTGATTCAAGTCTTACAAAATAAGTTTTCCCACTATAGTGGATGCAGCTTTTTATGACGTCTTCTATCGAGAACTAAAAATGTCTGCTCTAAAAGAAAGAAACTATAGAAGAATTAAGTAGACTTTACCTATCTCAATTGAAGATCCATGATAATGTACTAACGATGCAAGCACTGCACAATAGTCCGCAATGTAGGAAAAAAAGTCATTGTCATTTCTAAATAAAATTTAATATTATACAAAAAAAAAAAAAAAAAAGAAAAATACCTTACTTCGGTTGCAGCGAAGCTATAATAACCTTAACAAGTACAATACATTCCTTATAAGACATTTATTTTGATCGATTAGTTTTTATGGCAGCTATATGTTACAGCGTTCCGATATCGACGGTTTCGACAAGTTTTTTTTTGGGGAGCTAAAGACGTGAGCGAAATTTCAGATCGGTATCTCAAAAATTGAGGGTCCAGTTTGAGTGTATACAGACGTAAACGACGGTATTTATTTATACAAATATATGTATGTATATTTTATAGGGCCTCCACTTTTCATTTTGGATGTTGGGTATAAAAAACAAAAATTTGTACATGCTTATAAATGGCAGTGGAGGATATCAGTTACGCTCTAATCAATAACTTGTATCTTCTAAATCACAAGTTTACTGGCGCTAACACAACCTACTGACAACGATAGCAAAACGCCCACTTACTGTGCCCAACTACAGTAAAATGCTTGCATATAAAATATAAAAGGGCACAATACTGCAATATTTCAACATAAAGGCAAAAGAATCGAAGAAGTTTTAGTCGAGAAATAATTGAAAAATATACCGGAACCTTAAAAATTGTTAAAGCATAATGCTAAAATTTAGCACCGTATTTTGTCTTGCTCTCAAGGAGACAATAATGGAATATTTGAAAAATACCAGCCTTAGCGGATTTCATTTGTTATACTATATATGTGGCGATAAATATCAACGGTGAATTATATTATCATTAATGAAAAATAAAATTCAGAAAGTTAACAGTTTGATAAAAAAAAAATGTTTCCCTCACACGATTTAGAATTTGTTGGTCCTTCTTTCTGTTGACTGGTATTATCAGCGCAACGTATGTAACGTTGATAAACGTAGAAAATATATTGGAGAACCCGATTGTGACCACCTTGGAATCTAATCATCATAGAATTGAGAAAGTGCCATATGCGGCAGTGGCTATTTGCAGTGTCAACAAATTTAGTCGAAGCGCTGTAAACGCTTTTGTAGAAGAAATGTAAGTTAAGCACCTTGAACTTCGAAACACTGATACTTAACCCTGAAATATATTTATTTAAGGGTCAACAAATCCGGTTCGCAATTCTCACAACAACAGTTGTTGCAGAAGATGAAATTATTCGGCGGTTTTTTTGATACTGGTTCTGTGGATTTCGAAGAAGCTGCGGCTTTTCAAAGGGATTTTTTAGACAAATATAACATCAGTATTGAGGAAACTTTACAAAAGGCATGAATATTTAAAAAAAAAAATTTAATATGCTTATTTTGCTTATCATATCATAATTAAACTGCAGCTAGCTCCTCGGTGTGAGGATCTGTTAATAAAGTGTCGTTGGGCGGGAAAACTTCAAGAATGCAGTGAACTTTTCCAAAACAGTTTAACAGCGAATGGATACTGCTGCATATACAATCAAATTTACGATGTAAGGGATATAAGGTAAGCAAACTTATTCAAATATTTTCTAAATAGCTTTTCAGTATTAAATTTAGTTTTTAGGTTATTTTTTAAATTTGAACTTTTTTTTTTTTCTTTTGTCAACAAAGTAAACTCAGGTACGTAGAAGGTGATGGTATTCACAATGGACTCACTTTACTTCTAAATACGTCCAAAGCCGATTTCTTTATGACGGATCGCAGCTTTGCCGGTTTTACAGCGCAAATATTCAGTTCTGGCCAATTCCCCGACAAATCGATTGGCGGTCCCCTTAAGGAAATCTTTATATCACAGTCTAGTGCCATTGATATACAATTGAGTGTGTCGGTGCAAACAGCGACAAGTGAAATGGGAATCTACAATATTGAGCAAAGAAAGTGTTATCTCTTTGGGGAAAATGTCGCTGGAGGGGATGACCAATACAGTACAGACAAATGTGTTTCACTTTGTAAAGTGTGTGGCGTGTTACGCATTTGCGGTTGTGTACCGTATTACATATCTTTGATTCTTGATGAAAACAATGATACACTCTGTACACTGGCACATTTGGAATGTTTGCATAGGAATCGAGGTTCGCGACGATATGTTTAATGATTTTAAACTTTTTTCCAAATATATATACATTTTGTACTATTCTTCACAGTTACTTTAAATACGTTCAGTCTCATCGACAGTGGTAAACAAGGGGCCCTGACAAACCGTTCACTTCAATGTTCCCAATGTTTGCCACTGTGTAATTTTTATGCTTACGGCACACGACGTCAAACGATATTATTAAAGAAAGCGTATCTACTAACAATAAATCAAGAATTTCTCAAATTAATTGGTAGGCAAGAAAGTGACGGCAAATCTAATTACACGTATGAGTCGTTGTAAGTGGACTTGATGAAATCCTGTTGCATATACATACATACATATGTACATTAGGATGTCCGTTATTTCCCGAGTTGATTTTTTACAAACGGCATTTGAAGCTCCACAATTTTTTTTTTCATAAAAATATGCGTTTAAATGTTATTCCCAGCTAAATTAATGCACCAAATGTATTCTAGTTCATACAGGACACCATGTCGTATGAGCAACACAGAATGTATGCATACTTGTATGATGTATGAGAGCTCAGTACATGATGATAAAACTTTGAAAGATACATATAAAAAAATGTTTTTATGAAGAAAAACAATCCAACCTTTTTTGTAGTGCGAAAATATTTGTGTTCGAATTTAATTTTTTTTTTTTAATTTTAGATTTACTAGCTTATTTAAAATATCACAAAATCCCAAATGTTATGCATGAGACAAGAAATATGATTCAAGTTTTTATATGATTTAGGATTTGATTTTTTTAGTACGCAAACTGAAACCTTAAGGCCCGTTTGCAAAAAAAATAACAGACACCCTAAGCATATACATAGTTTTGAACATTTTTATACTCTCGCAACAAAGTTGCTAAAGA